AATAAAATGTGTATAACTTAGCTGTGTTATTAGATTAGGCTCCAGAGAATAGAAGCCATCTGCACTGACTTTATTTTTAAATTTATTATCATATTCTGAACAGAGGGCACTTTTTATTGTTATGGTCTCTTTCTGAGAGAGACAAGCTAATCTCAGCATTTTTATTTTAGCTTCTTCTTTTTTTTTTTTTTGCTGCAGAAACCTTCAAGACAAAATGTGATGCTGCTCAAAGACCCATGATCAGCCTTTCAAAATCCTTCATTAATATTATTGGTGTTTGGAAATGACTTTTTCAAATGTAAGTGTTAAATTACAATCCCTATTATTCCTCTTCCAATGCTGTAGATCTAGAGAAATGTAGAACTAGATACTGCTCAAGTGTGCTGTCTAAATTGTACAACATTCCTGTTACATGACAGAGGAAGGAACAAAATACAAGACCATGATGGCCAGGAGGAAGAGTAAGGTATTGGGTTAAAAATACTGACCAACAGCTAGTGAAAGTTGTGATAGTTACCTGTAGTACACTGCTTAAGAAAAAGCAGAAGGAAGACAAAGTGACTTCCTAAGGTATCTTAGTCTTATTCAAGTACTCCTTCATTTTCAATACGAACGCGTCACACTGACAGTAGTTCTTTGCAAAACTCATTTGAAATGTTCTCCAGTTTTCAAAGCACTTGTCTCTGGGGAGTTCATAACTTCTCATCTAAGAATGCAGGGTTTTGCAGGTACAATTCAACATTATATAATGTATTTTGTGCTTGCCTCTTAATGAATGCAAGTTTTATAAATATGGAATTGGAAAAGAGAGAATCTAATGTGCACATGAGGATGTAGATGTATCACCGTTAAAAACAAGGAAATGTCACTAATTACCCTGAAACTATAATGGATAGATACAGCCGTTGTGCCTTTAACAACATATTGCATTTAATACACCTGATATGAGAGAAATGAAAGATTTTGGAACTATGGTGGGTTTGTCTGTTTTAATCTTGTAAGACACCCAGAGTCACTTGTGTGAGATGGCAACTATATGTATTTATTCATTCATTCTGCTCATAAAGTGAGCAGCAGGCATTATGACAGTGTAATGAGAGCATCACTGTTATATATAATGTAAAATGTTCCCTAGGAATTACACGGCAGAGTCTTCTGACATTTTACTTTGGGAAATAGAACAATTTTACATACAAGCAACAGCTAGTTTTACCAGAGAAATATGGTTAGAAATAAATGGATCTGGGTTTTTAAAAAGTTCTTCTGAGTTGCATAGATCTCTGGGCTTTAAAGGATTTTTCATTTGCATTCATGGATTACCCTTCACTCCCTCTTGTATGTTTTTAGAGGCCCCAACCCTTCATTTCCACCAAATTTAGCCTGCATTACCACAGTTGAAAATAGCGATAGCACCGCTAACCACACACTTCCGCATCTAAGAAGGCCTCACGATCCGCAGTACCTAATTAAAAAGGTATCACTTTACAGCCAAGCCCAAAGTAGACTAAACTCCCCACATCAAAAGAGACTCTTTCAACCACACAAACTTCCGTCTTGAGTAATTTTCAAAGCCACAAACCAAATGTTGAAACTTTCAAGTGAACGTGGGAGATACTCACAAATGTAGATGTTGTTTTAGAATGCAGAAAAAATAGGGGGTCATTTAGCTGCAGACATCTTCTGAACCTTTAAATATTACATTCAGACACAAAAAGCTGATACGCACCCCATGTTTAATTAAACTTGCCACAATTTTTATAATATAGTAATCCAGGATCAAGCTTGATAGTTTGAACCCATTGTTACTTATTATTTATTTCTTTAATTTTTGTGCATTAACAAGGACAGAATGGGATTCATGTCGTTTTTCTTATCAGTCTAAAATAAAGCTCAACATTAGATGCTCCTCAGCCGCACACAAAAAGCATGTTGCTTTTTGAAGCTTGCAGCATTCAATAAATAGAAAGAAAGAATAACTCTGGCCAATAAATTCCCCTAGGAAGCATTTTTCCTCTTGGTTTCATGCGCATGTACAATTCCTCTCCTCAGAAATTCTGAGATGCACTGAATCTATAGAGAGAAAATAATTTCCCATGAACTTAGCTATTTATCCATCCATCCTTCTACCTATCTGATCCATGAGGCTTTGACTTCATCTAAAGAATCCTGAAACTAAAAGCTGTCTTTAACAAATGATGTACAATGCAATACATTATGTTGATCCATGGTTTCCATCTAGTACACAGGATCAGGGAAGACTTCTCTGTAGGCTATTCCCAGAGTAGGTAAGTGTAGGCTAATTCACCTTTTCAATGGTGTGCTGTGGGTTGTATCCAAAAAGTCATTAATAGGACCAGGAATAAATTGAAATCTAAGTACTATTCATATTAAATATTAAAACAACACAAGGCTTTGGATTCAAAGGCAAAAAAGTACTTTGCAGTGTGTGCAGTCTCAAAGCACACTTTGATTGGGGGTAGCACAAACTATAATTAAGCATGATGTCTGTATTGAGCTGATAAGTCACCTATCAAAATAAGACCGTGTGTGTGTGTGTGTGTGTGTGTTGTTTTGCTCACCAGTATTTCAAGCTCTGCTTTTAAAGCCCATTGTAATGCTAATAGGGGATATATCACGCTGGTTATGTATTATGGGAATTAAAAACCCAACACACTAGGACACCAGCAGGTTGAGGAAGGCTAGTCTACATCCACCATTTGCAATTCAAAACATACATGCTATGAAATTACAAGTAACTCCCTGCCTTTTAGGAAGGCAAGGAAAAAAACAGCTGAGAGTTTACAGAAGATTTCCTTCTTACACTCATAGTGATTTCTGTGTCTATAGAACATCTCTATCTTACACCCATTTGTTTGTTTTTCTTATGATTCATACAGATCTTTTCAGAGGAACCAAGTAGTTTTGCTCGTCATAGGAACTAAGACTATATTTATGTCTAATTTTTCAACTGGAAAACAAACAATAGTGGGTGGGTCCTTTTTGTTTGCCTGACTAAGCGTCATGTTTACTTTAGTGCAGAAGAGCTAGTGAAAAATTGTTTTCCTTTCTTTATAAATGTAAGAAAAGCTGACCTTCTATTCTGACAGCAGTATCAAACATTTGCAGAGGGGATGGGACATAGTTGAAGGTTCAAGTGGATTATTATAACCCCATTTGTTTTTTAAAGTTCTGCATTTTAGAAATAATATATTTTAATTCTTTATTTTTGTAAAGTAATGTTCATGTGGGTAACATTAAAAGAAGATGACCCTCACAGGCTGGGTAAAACATAACTCTCAACTGCTATCTGATCAAGGCATCTCATTCCACTGCAGTATGCAATCTTAGGCAAAAATGCTGAGATACGTAAGATGGTTGATAATGCAAGTACTAGAAGTTCTCCTCACTGACTACCTAGGGGATCAATTTTCATACTGATATATTTTGAACACTGTGTATAATGTTCTTCTGACACATGTTAATCATATATGAAAATCAGGTCAGTCAAAGGGCCTTTCCCTCAGGAAAGCTGAAATTAGGACAGGTGTATGCAAGATATACAAGCTTAATATCATTTTGTTTTCTCAAGCTAACAATATGTAATTAGGCAAATTTACTTATACTGAATCAAATATAGCTTGGGTTAGGCCCCCTGAAGGAATTTTCTGGAGTGAGAAAAAAAAGCCTTCTGCTGGCTTCTGGACACACTCTGTGAAGACCCAGCTCCTTTGAGAAGTTCATAATACTGGGAAAGGTGGTAGGAAAGAGAAGTTGACCAGCAGTGAGGTGGATGGACTCAATTAAAATGGCAATGGGTGCACCACTGAGAAACTTAAAGGGCCAGGGTGGGAACAGATCATCTTGGAGAATGTCAATCTATGTGGCTGCTAAGAGTTGACAGAGACTTGATGGCACAGAATCAATCAATGGTACAATTAATATGATTTAGAGGAATAATTAAAGGAAATTAATTTTCAGCCTTTTAAAATAGTGCAAAGAGTTGAGATTAAAGATCATTGCTTTTATTACTATTTAATGACTTGTGTTTATCTAGAGTCCAATTTGTATTTCACCAGGAAGATAATAACCCTTATTGCAAGCTATAATTGGATTCAGTGCAAGTTGGCAGAAACCTTATTTGAAATGTCTGATCAAACAGAGCATGAACATGTATAGTGCTCTAATCCTGAGCCATTTGCAGATCTACCAAGTATATAAAAAAGACTTTAGATGTACAAAGTCCAGAGATTCCTAGTCTCCAACAACCAGTCACAAACAACTAACATCTTATTTTTCACTCTGGATTTTATGAATTTTTTGGTAGAGTTTTGTATGCAGTTCACAAACTAATGCTCAATCCATGGAGTTGAGAAACAATACCTGCCACTGGGAATAATGGTTATCTTTCTTTTTGAGTCTCCTGTAAGTGTCTGTCAGATCAGCCCTGATTTAAAACGTCCACCTTTTTATCTCTCTTCCAATCCTTCAGAATTATCGTCACCAGTTTCTATTTGGACATTATTGTCGACTCTCTCTGCTCTTGCCTGACAGCACTTATACCTGCTCAAGTCAGTCTCGATCTGCCTTGGCTCATATTGCTCTCTCACTGATGCTATCTTTTAGACTGTAATCAATTGAAAAAAAATGCCATTGTCAGTATAAAATATTGTAATAAATAAAATGTATAAATGATCATAGAACTGTACAGCTCCAAGCATATATGACACCACTAAATTCAGCAGTAGCTGAATATGTCTGAATATCTGAATATCTTTCTACTCCCATTGTTTTTATGAAACCACTGGGAAAGGAAAGCATCAAGATATGGATCCATAGACAAATAGTTATCTAAATACTTACTGCATGCTGAACACATTAGCAATTGGTCATAGCTTAAGACTGCATCACTACATGTCCACAGTCTGGAGTGCAGCCATTTCCATTGGAAAGATGAATGACACAGCTGTATTTAAGGAAAAGAGAATCACTTTGGTACTCACATCAATTAGGTCGGAAACATCATGGATGTAGTATTTACTGACTGCTGCATTTGTGGCTGCTAGGTTCAGCAGATAATCATTCCTAGCTTTAGTGCACTTGAGCTTGTTTTCAGAATATTTTGCTTGCCTCTGAAAAATGGAACACAGATTCAAACAAAATGTATTAAGTTTCCCAATTCTCATACTTTTCCAAATTCAGGCTCTTACAACATAAAAATATCCCATTAGATCAGACCATAGAATATCTCGTCCAACATTCTGTGGCCAACCACAGGTCAAAGGGAAGCCCTCAATCAAGGCGTGTGAATAACAAACCCTTTCTGCTGCGGTTTCTTGATGCCATGCCATCCCTGATCTTGGAGTTATATATAGCCATAATGACTAGTAGCCATTGATGGCCTTATGCTCTACGAATTTTTAAAGATAAGCACTATGTACTGATGTGCTAGTTATAATTTAATGAAAAAAACAGGGTAATGTAACAGCTATTTCTTCTGAATATTCCCAATATAGGATCTGATAGGCAGGTTTCAGTTTTTGTACTCTGTATACTAGGTACAGCTTGAACATTTGTCACCACATCCAGAAATACTTGGCGTCCGTCCCATCCAGTAGTTAGCAAGGGTTCAAGCTGTTTTAGAATTCAAATATAGCTGAGAGGTTTTTGTGCAGAGTTAAGATATAGCATCCGGCATATTGCACCACTATGTATATTACTCTATCTGCTTCCTTCTGAAGACATAATCCTCTATGTAAGTGAATGGAAATTTATGTAAAATAGCCATATGGCAATGTAGGCTTTTCTCCATCAGGTCTCTGGATCACAGTTCATAGCAAACATGGTGCATGAAATCAAATGTAGGGTGCCTGAAAAACAGTCTTAGCGCATGGCAGAGTGATTAAACAACAGCCTTGCTAACAACCAAATGCTAACTTTGTTTCATCTGATGTTGCTGAAAGCTGAGAAAGGAATATTTGTTAAGTAAATCTGCAATGAGCAGCAAGTTTATGATTAACAGTGTCTCTGAATTCAGAAACAAGCAGCCAGACACAGACACAAATTCCTTACCCAAATGGGGACATATCCTAAACTTTCAGTGCTACCCTGCAGTATGTCTGAGTTCACATATCATACTACACTACTGCTTGCTTTCAGGTAGTAAAGCACACAACTGGAAACCACGGTTGGCTACTGCCTCTTCCTAACTGCAACTGTGGCTTAGCTAGATATGCAAACTAGGGCATGCTGTAGGTCTTTTTTTTTTAACTGAATGTGAAAAGACAAACACAAATACACACACACACACACCAATATTAAGAACACAACAAACTGAAAACAAATAATACAAATTGGAAATGAACATATGGAGGAAGAAAGAGAACGTAAAGTCATTAACCAGGAAACATTAAAAAAAGTACAAGTAGTCCCCAGGTTAAGAATGCCTGGTTTAAGGATGACCCATAGTTAAGAACAGAGCCTATTGTAGCAAATTGTGAGTTAAATACACAATGATTTGAGTTAAATACACAATGATTTGAGTTAAATACACAATGATTCGAGTTAATTGCACAATACTACTTATACAGTATTATACAATAATACTGTTTCAGCTTA